AAATTGTGGCCAGACTCATTGTGGTTTGCAAATGATCCCTTTTGTATTCATATAATTTTTATGTAAATTCCTATGTATTCCTTGTGCCAATTATTACAGGTGATACAGTAAATTATTCCTCCAAGTTTTAGGTCATTATTATTTTATTTTGTATTCAATCTTTTATTGTTTTTAGAAGTAGTTGTAGCAAATTTTATGCTAAGCTTAGATAAATTCTTTTCAGTTGTCATTGTGATAGAGATATATTTTGATTCCTTGTGTTTTAAAGAATGGTTCACTCTTCTATTTTGAAATATTTTACAAGCTTTTTGTTTCATGTTGAATATGAAATAATTAGGGTATTGAAGGAGCATAAAAGTATTTTCAACGTATTTCACCTTTCTTTACACATCACAATATTGGATACTTAATAACAAAGATGATAAAAATATAAATAAAAAGATACTAAATGAAATTGGTTAGACTGTATATCTGAACACATAAATGTGGAGGGCTAAAAATTCTGAGTGCTCTTAAATAACATCCAGTAATTATTCTGAAATTTATTTTGTTGTTATGGTGAGAATAGAAATTTATGAAGTCATTTTTATTGGTTCTTTCTGATACACACTTAGTTTTAGGTCATGGCCGGCATGGTGTAACATGAAATTGAGGAAAGGTAAATTTTTATTTGTTTTTTTTTCATAAATGAGTTTTATTTTTTGTTTGACATTGTTTTGTTTATCCATAAGGTCAGGTAATGTAGTTTTGCAGGCATATATTAATAGAATAACATTAATATATCAGAAATATGTTGATTAAGTAAAATATTTTGGAAAGGAGCGGATCCAAGAAATCCTAAGGTACACACTAAAATACCACTTAGAATTGAACCCAATGGTAATCCAAATTTTTGTTTATAAAAATTATTGTTAAAGGTGAAATAGCACTGATTGGTTATGTTGTAGCATACCTATGGTCGATAATGGGTATATCCCCATTCATGTAAATACAGTATTAAATACTGTACATTGGTCTGCAATTGGAGATTCGTCTCCAGCTGTGCTGGTCAAGCTCTCTGCCTCCAGGCAGAGAGGATCACCAGATGAGGCTATGTTGAATGGCAGAATCTCATCTCAGGAAACAGCTACCCGATCCCATTTTATACTCTGTCTACAGTGAATTTTTGGCTGAGCCTACAGGCTTGAATACCCCACTTTAAATTTGGCCTTGTGCCACATCTGATCGCATGGGGTAGTTGGTAGATATCCTGCAGTTGGAGATTTATTGTGGAATTCACTTGACTCACTTCTAGCAGTTGACAACTACTTTTATGCACCACTGGCACATCTTATATGTGTTGTTCTTGTCCTAAGTATTATCATTCATTACCAACTTTCATGTGATTATTCTATTCAGTAACCTTCCCTAGGTTACAACATTATGAATCAACTGATTTTCATGAGTTTAGCAATTGGTAGAGGTTTATTTAGGTTTATTGGTAGAGCTAGAGAGATTTATTTTTTATTGTATTAGATGCTTTTTTAAAGATTTAAGCATTTTTTAACAGGAATGTTGGTGTAAAGGAATTTAATATCTAAAGAAGCCATGAGTTTGTTTATCAGTCATATTTATTTCCCTTAGTTTTTTCACCAGGTTGCCTGTATTCTTAACATGTGATGGGCTGATTGTTCCCAGGGGAAGTGTTAAAATGTTTGTTTCTGTAATTTTGTGAGGAGTGCTACCAGTACCTGATATAATGGAGGGAGGCACTGGAATGCCTGCTTTCTGGGTTTTAGGGAGACCATAAAGTTTGGGCATTCTAGGGTGATATTATATTATAGTTTATAGGCTAATTTGTTTTCATTAAAATTTAGTTTTCTAATTGATCTGTTAAAATTTCTGTGTTTCTGTAATTATCATCTATTATCTCAATGTTGGATACTTAACAACAAAAGTGATAAAAATATGAACAAAAAGAAAAAGAAGCTAAATGAAATTGGTTAGACTAAGTATCAAAACATCAAAACATCAGTTCAGTTATGTGCCATGCATGATATGCACTTAAGTGATCATGTATCTTTTGATATTGACTGATGAGGCAGATGTTTTTTTCCGTTGCCATTTCTTTCTGCGGTAGATCAGTTGCCATCCAAGGTTATAAAACCTGGTCTGTCCTGCTATTTACCCATATCTGGGGGGAGAAGAAGAGGATTTATAGCTTTCCCAAGGGTATTAGCAAGTAAGTAAATTTCAGTCACTTACTTGCCATGCATGATACATGCTTAAGCAATCATGTATCTTTTGATATATGACTGACGAGGCAGATTTTTTCCAGCAGTAGGTTGCCATTTCTTTCTGAAGTAGACCAGTTGCCATAAATGGTTATAGAACCCAGTCTGCCTTGCTATTTATCCATAGCTGGGGGGAGAAGAAGAGGATTTATACCTTCCCCAATAGGTAAATGTAATGGGTTTGACTGAAATTCAAACTCGGTTCTTCAATTCCTCAATCTGAGCTTCTATCCATTACTCCACCATATATCAAAAAAACATTTTCAAAGTTTAAAATTTTAGCATCCCCACTAACTTCAGTATAGGCATAATTTTAGTCTGATGAAGTTGTAAAAGATGAAATGCATCACATGAAATTTTTTCCACTTTGTCATTAATTTTCCTAATATTGTGCTGGTATATAAAAATGTATATATCGTTTTCCCTCAATATATATATATATATACAAAATCTCAGCAATATATTAAGAAATAGATAGATAGAAACAAAGAAAAGGTACTGAACTTTTCGTAATAAGTCTTCCTATATGGCAGTTAATGTTGGACAATCTCCTCACAGATGAAGAAGAGACTTGAAGCAACAGAAATGTGGCTCTACAGAAGGATGCTGAGAATACCATGAACTGGATATGTGAGCAATGATGAAGTTTAGAGAAAATAGAAACAAAAAGGACACTTATACTTAACATCAAAAAGAGATATTTTTAGGCCATATAATGAGGAAAGAAGGTTTGGAAAATTTGGTACTCACAGGACATACTAAAGGCAGGAAGGTTAGAGAAAAACAATGCATAACCTACCTAACAAGCTTGAGTAAATGGATGGCGAAACAAAATTTAGGAGAGATAATGAATAGATAAAATTTATTAAGAGCTACAAAGGACAGGAAAATGTAAAAAGTCATTATTGTGAGGACATGACACATAGAAGAAGAAGAAGAATATGTTAACATCAATTGAAATGCAGACAAAAATATACAGCTTATCTTGCATGAACCATGCAAGATTGGTATTGCACATCAGGCACAAATGTAAACAAGAGATGGTGTGAAAATAGTCAATTTTTCACTCTCAGAGTAAATTTTTTACTCTTATAGGGAAAGAGTGTTATATATATATCTTCCCTTATCTCTGTTGCTCTCAATATACCTTGTGAGGATTAAATTTTCCAAGTCTTCCTTCCTCATTTTGTGTCCAAAGGAATTACAGCTATCTTTTCCTGATTTTGAGTATTCTTTTTGGTACCATTTTCTTTAAGATTTCCTCATTGCTTACTCACTCCATCCATGGAATTTTCAGTATCTATTTGTAGAACTACATTTCTTCTGCCTCTCAATGCTTTTCCACATCCTTGTCCAACATTAAGAGGATGGATACCACATAGAAATCCAGCACTCTTTTCTTTGTTTCTAACAATTTTTTTCTATTTATCAAAAACTGGCTAAGCTTTTGGAAATGCTTTTTTTGTTAGTCCCATGTGGGTTTAGATCTCATTGTTGCATTTCCCATCCTCTGCTAAAATGCTTCTCAGATATTTGAACTTCTGCACCTGCTTGATGTTTATATCTTCAATTCATAACTCACACCTTCAGCTTTAGCTCTTGCTGGTGACCATACTTTCTGTCTTTTTGCAGTTGATGGTTTGCGCTTTTTTTTGGCTTGTATTACTAAATATTGTTATATGTATAGCACAAGGCTCAATGAGACCCGTATGTTTATCCATAATCCTTGGCTAAGTATCTAAGATTAATAGAACAGAATGGGAAAAGTATGAGGCACTCATTAAGAATTGAACTCAACATAGTAACAATATTCTGGCAGACTAACTTGCTAAGTACTACAGTGTAACCCGGATATAAGAGAGTTGTCGGGACTGGAGAAGAAGTCTCTTATATCCAGGGTTTCTCTTATATCCGGGTTTGGTCTATTTTGTTTACATTAACACAGGCTCTAATTTGGGACCAGAGAAAATCTCTCTTATATCCGGGTTTCTCTTATATCCAGGTCTCTTATATCCGGGTTACACTGTACTACATGCATGGCTCAAGGATTCTGTTATAATGTACTCTTTGTGAACTGAATTTATACTAGTAGATTGGTTTGTGAAAAAAACTCACTTAAATTTTATAAATTTTATCTTTTCACTGTGTTTAAAATTTTTTTTTAAATTATTACATTTGATTAAATCTTATTTTAAATTCTTTCCCATTCATTTTTTAAAGTTGAAATTTAATCTTGTTTTATTATTCTTTATTTTATTTTTTTAAATTTAACTTATTTTTCTTAATTTATTTTCATTCTTGTTTTTTGAGTTGGTGTTACATATATTTTAGATTTGTTCAAAGACAGAGAGAGGTGGGTTAATAGAATGAATTAAATCCTTCTTTAAGAAAGGATTGTCAATATCCTGAATAAACACACTAAAATTTTAAGAAGCAACTCCCATCATTCCAGTCCATAACCACCCACCTCCTTTCAACATGTGACCTATATAACCAAATTCAGTATCTGGTTACAAAGAATTTTAAGGATTTATTCAGTCTGGTGAGAAGCAGAACCTGTTCCCATTTAGACTCAAAGAGAATTTCTTTTTCTCAACTAAATTGAAGCTTCATTGGTTAGAACAAGGAATTACTGTTGATTTTGTCAACACATGAGGACAGAGCCAAATTTTTCTTTTTTCTTATTACATGGTGCTATATTGAAGAGGTCATCTTTTTGGCAGAAATATGAAGAAAAAATTTTGCCTACTTTTGCTAGCCATCTTGGGGTCTTTAATTCTGTCAGTGTCTGGAGCTGAGAATCCGGTAAGTAAATATAATATTTATATTACTGAAGAATGGTTGTCATATATTTACAAACACTCTAACTTTGATATTATGAATGTTTCCACCAAAAAAATATAACAAATTAAGATATATATATATATATATATATATATATATATATATATATATATATATATATATATATATATATATATATATATATATATATATATATATATATATATATATATATATATATATATATATTGTGTGTGTATGAAAAAATACGAAAGGAAAAGCTTTATCTTTACCAACATGTTTCATTCCCTGAGAGGCTTTATCAAGGTAAATTCCTTAGCTGATGAAATGCCTTCAAAGAAAAAATTTTTTTTTGTCTTTCTGCTCTTACTGTCTTTTTACTTTGTTTGTTTTGTTTTGTTTTATGGCCTTTCAACCTCAATGCGTTATTTAATGCTGACAAGATTTTTATTGCTGGTAATATTTTTTTTCTCAAAAATGTATTGCTGGTATTTTTTTTTTAAATGTATAGCTGATATTCTTTTTTCAAAAATGTATTGCTGGTAATAATTTTTTTTCAAAAATGTATTGCTGGTAATAATTTTTCCTCAAAAAATTTATTGCTGGTATTAAAACTTATTTTTACACTTTCATAGTGTTTTAACCCCAGTTTGGTGGTTAACCATTTACCCTTGGCTGAGACCCTAATAGGTGCTACCACCCTGGGTCAGGGTGGACCTGGGAAAACCAGCAATTAAGAGGTGGTTCCACACTACTCAAAACCTCCTTATCGGAGGCCTTGCTGTTGGACATAGTTTATTGTCATGCCCAGGATGCAGATGTAGTTTATCGTCATACCAAGGACGGTGTCTTTTACAGATATATTTTAGTTATATCCACACACACACACACACACACACACACACACACACACACACACACACACACACACACACACACACACAAACAAACACATATACACACATATATTATGCTTCCCCCAAAATGCTATATCTCTGGTAGATAATAGATTTTTTTGTTTGATTTATTAAATAAAAATGAAAGAGAATTTTCCTCATTAAATTTACTAAACAATATATTGGGTTGGCTAAAAAAATTTTTGTTGTATCAAGTAAAACTTTTCATAAGATAATTGATTTACAAAGTATAAACAAAATTTTTAAAAAAAAAATAAATATCTAAACTAAATATAAATAACTGATTCATTTTCATAAAATAATTGTCTCTTAAAAAAACAATTTTTTTTATTTTTCACATTAACATTATTGGAAAATCTGTTGTGTTGTTAAAAAATATTGCTCAGTTTATTAAGTAAAAATAATGAACAATTATTTATTTTCTTTATTAAATTTACTGAACAACATAAAATTAAATAAGTAATAAAATAAGTTAAAATAAAAGACAATTTTTTTGTTTATTTTTCTTTATTGAACAATATATTGGGTTGGCTAAAATGTTTTATGGTTTATTAAGTAAAAATAAAGGACAGATATTTTTATTTTTGACATAAGTGAACAACATTTTCCTTTATAACCTTTTGTCATTTTTCATCTTTCACTTATAATTTCATCTTCCTTAAACTTTCTGAACCAAATAACAAACTACTTTTGATTCTGCTTACTATTTCCCTGCAAATTGAATATACAGTGCAACCTTACTTCTTGAATATCTCATGTATTGAACAAATCAGTTTTTGAACAGAGATGAAAGTGCCTCGGTTCTCGAACAAAATTTTGGTTCTTGAACAACATTGCTGAACCGAGTTAACCCGAACAGAATAATTTCTGAGGTGACTACCATGTTGTATACATTAGTGTGTTGTGCTGTGTTTTTCTTTTCCAGTTTTATTGTACTGTGACTTTTTTCCTCTACATTGATTACTACTGTAAAAATAGTTTCGGTTTTACGAACATTTCGGCTTACGAACAGCCTTCAGGAATGATTGTGAACTAAGGTTCCACTGTACATGCATATATATTATTTATAAATATCATATCAATGTATGATTGGATACTGGATAATTCTTGAGAAGTAATTCTCCCAAAAATATACTGATTTTGGATCATTTGGTCATATTTAAGAAGTGGTTTGAGCCAAAAACTTTTCAGCTCTGTTTTGTATAAAACTATATATATATATATATATATATATATATATATATATTGTAAATTTTTGCTTGTATACAAGTATTTACATTCGTGCATTCATCATATATATTTATAATTAATGCATTAATAGATTCTAGCGCAAACATAAATATAGACCCTGCATCTGTCCTTAAAAAAATGTTCTTTCCTATTTCAATATATTTATGTATGACCATAAAAATTTAAGAAGTTAAAGGAAAATCATTAACACAAGGCTTTTTAAATATAATGATAATGTTAACAACATTAATTCACTTCCATTTAACATGTCAACATTTATATCACTTAGTGTCTTCCATAGATACCCTTTCCTTAATGTTGAGAGACTTTTTGAATAATTTTTAATGTTCTCTAATTCAAATATGGGCAAACTTAGACCTTCATACTTGAATTAAAAACAGTGTGTCAAAAGGCCAGTTTTCCCTTGATACCACTATTATTTTAACTACCTTCACTCTTTGGTTTACTGTTTTAAAAAGCAATAATTAGAATTATAATAAAATCTAATCATATGATGAAAGTGAATTATATATTTTCTTTCGTTCTTGAGAATTTACAACAAAAATATTAAACACTATTTACTTATTAGATTCTTTATTTACAAGAATAATTTTATATTTAAAACATGCTAAAAACAAATATAATTTAAAGTAGCACAATGCAATATTTTTCATTTTCCAATTTATAAAGAAATAAATATAAGAACAATTTTTAATTCATAAATTTATAAATATTTGCTAATTTATTAAAATATGTAAGCCGATAAAAGTGTAAAATATATGAATTAGGCTAGATTGCAAAAAAAAAGTTCTATAAAAAAATACTTTAAAAAAAATTCTTTAAAAAATTTTTAGACTACCAGCATCTCTCATTCATACACATGGTAGTCAACAACAATGTCAACAAACCCAGTCTGATGAAGCCCTAACAATGAACTGTGTAACAAAAAATTTTCCAATTTGTTTCAAAACTATTCTCTCTCTCTCTCTCTCTCTCTCTCTGTATATATATATGTATATATAAAAACATGTATCTATTAATATATATATATATATATATATATATATATATATATATATATATATATATATATATGAACATATATAGTCATCCACAGACAAAGTGTTTCACTCTAACACAGCTCATCATTGTGGCTAGACATGCAATTTGCTTCAAGCCAGGATCAAAACCTGACCGATTTGACGTCAATTGGAGACTCTCACCCTAGATCATTAGTACATACTAGGAAGAAAGGGAATTTTTAACACATTATATACAAGATATATGCATTAATGGCTACCAGAGGGCTTAATCCATAGTGAGGTGCTTAACATTAATCATCATCAGCAGCTAACAAATTCTCTTTCTTCCAAAAAGTAGTCAACCCATGAAAGGGAACATATATATATATATATATATATATATATATATATATATATATATATATATATATCAATAAAATATATATGTAAAAAGTTTACTTGTGATTTGTTTCATCTCCCAGGACTTCATCAGATGAAATGCTTTACAATAAACTTTTTCTACTTTATCATACAATTTCCTCATATACTGTTCTTGATATATATAAAATATATATCGTTATCTTATTCAAATATATATATATATATATATATATATATATATATATATATATCTCAATGAACATTTATATATTAATGTTCATTCAAAATGGACACTGATGTCAACACCGAGTGGTGACATTCTGTTTCATGTATTAATGCAATCTTCATGGTTGCAAGCTTAGATGTGTGGGTGGTGTAATGTATAATGGCTTAGAATTCCTAATTGGAGATCTGATTTCTAATTCCCATTTGATTCACTATCTTTACTTATGCACAAATGCCCTTGAGAAAAGTATGAATCAACATCTTCTCTCCCAGATGACGAGTTACAATGAGGGCAAACCCAATTATAGGTGTATATTTACCTTGAAGGTATAAAATGTGAATGTTCTTAATAGTTCTTCTGATTTGTTTAGAATTGTAAAAGTTCATGACAGATTTCAGAGTCTTCAATGCAGAGAGTTTTTTTGAGAACAGTACTAGTTCTTTATCATAGAAACAACTATTTTCTTACAATGAACGGGGTAAAATAGGACGGTTGTGAAAATGACAATTTGGCTGTCAAGACTTTTGTTGAGGTGTGGTTTTCTTTGAGTTTACACTCAGTCAGGTTTTCAGTTGTTTTTAGACAGCATTGCTTTTTCTCACTGTCTGGCATCCATTGCATTTCCCACTCTTGGCAGTCACATTTACCACTTCTGTTGATGGTCATATTACAGGGATCTTTATAGCCAAAGATCAGCTCCAATCTATCCAAAAAATTTTGGTGGTCAACACAAGCATTTCAGATTTCAACCAGCTCTAGAAGCCATTGGTTAAAAAATCATGCTCATCAAAACTATTTATTGTAGTAGAAAGAAAGACTTGTTTTTCTTTCTTTTTCCTTCACCTTCAATTGACCCCACCACTCTCCACTCCTTGGTCAAGGAGATTTGCATGCAGGCTGGCAAGGTTCAGATTTCAGTAAATTATTTTATTACCTTCATCTCTTCACCCCAAACTACCCAGAGCCGATATTTGCTCAAAAATAATTTTTAATAAGGAGTGTTTTGATTTGCTTTATATGTCTTTGTGGGCTATTTGAAGCCAAAACATATTTTGAATTGTAAGAATAAATATATATTTTTTATAAGCAGATATTGTGTTAACAGTTTTTGCAGATAACAGCAATTTTTCTAGATACAAGCCATACTATTTAATCCATAGCTTGGTGTGGGAGAAGAGATAGATTCTTATATACAATTTGCTTTTTACAACCTATCAAACCTTT